AGGGAAAATATTGTGCCCTTTTTGACTATGCCAGTCATGCTGGCTGGAGTGTCATGGAGTCAGATCACTTCCCATAAACATAAGGATGCAYATTAAATCAACAATCATGTAGGAAAATCAAGTATTGGAAAACCATCCCTCTCCAAGGCTTGGCCATTTTGTTCTCTGCTGGGGACATGTTCCTCACTCAAGAACCCTGGTCCCCAACCCTCTTGTGATGGAGACCACTTGAGGGCTGAGCAGAAGCCATTCTGTCCTCTKACCATGAAGACTACACTGTAACACAGACAGACAACAGGCCTGAAGTAAAAATAAGGCAATTTTGGTCATGGYGTTTCCTGGCTTCCAAGAACTCAGGAAGTTTACACAGAAGCATTTCAGCTTGACCGTGTAGCTTCCCCTTTGTATTCACCAAAATGTCTCCTGCAGCCCACAGTCAGCCTCAAGCCCTCTCCCTCTGAAGGATTTTCAAAACCACTGGGCAAAGCCAGTTCTCAATGAGGCTGATGGTCCCTTCCCAGAGATCAGCTCTGCTGACCAGTGACCACTGCAGCCACCATGACCAGCTCTATGTCTCCTCAGGCTGGAAAGGCAGGATAGAGCAGAGCAAACAGCAAGAGCTGCTTTCTCCTCTGAGGTCCAACAGCAGCAGGTAGAGCATGTTACCAAATTCCCTCMTGGCTAGGCAACAGCAAAACAGAAGCTAGAATGCTTTCACACTTGGAACAGACCCTTTCATCAACACCACTGCCACACACCATGCCCCCAGTCTTAGTCTTCACCCACTTATTCTCTGCTCTTAATTTCCATTTTGATTTCCCAGCTTTACTTGGTGAGCAGTGGACTTTTATCAGGGCTCCTCAACAGCACACTCACCACAAACATCACTTCCCCCAAAGTTTCAAAACACTCCCCCATCCCCCCACCCCCAACCAAGAGGCTGAGAACTTCCCAGATATGATGGCTGAGGGAATGGGACATTTCCAAATGACTAGGCAGCCTCTTTCCCCAGCTCTCTTCTCAGAGATSGAAGAACAACTGGAGGATGACACTTCCCAAAAGTATTAGGTGAAGAGCTGCAGCCTGGTCTGGTGTGGGGATGAGATTTCACCAGACTGCAGGCAGAGTATTAATGGAAAGTGCCAGCCAGCTGGCCGAGGGGTTATCAGCTCCTTTCAAAGGAGCTCTGCTACCAACGAGCGCTTCTCCCAAGGCAGCCACACTCGGTCAGTTGACCTCTAATTGAACAAAGCCCCAGCAAACCTCACRGGGTGAAGCACACTCACTGTCATTGCCTCTGCCCAGCAGACTGAAGTGGTGCAGGAGCTCAGAGTGGCTGTAATAGCTCCCAGGAAAATGAGAAACTGAACTGCAGGACATCCCCAGGCAAGRATCAGGTTTATAGCATGGTGGAAGTAATGCAACAAAAGCAGGTGGTCTTTCCATGCAGGTGAGCCATTCTGCTCAGGCAGGAGCCCTCCAGGCACCGTGTGGCAGGCACAGAGCACACGTGCTGATCAGCTGAACAGCCCAGCACACTGCAGCCACAGCACTCCATTGCCTGGGGAGACACTGCTGGCCCCAAGCAAGGGCAAGGGCAAGGGCAAGGGCAGTCTGCTACCACAGCATGTATTAAGTAGGTTATTTGCTGCTTTCCAAGCCAGGGAAAACTTCATTGCCCCTGAGCTGCTGGCAAGGGAACTGCTCTGGGGCTGCACCATGAAGACCAACTGCGTGTTACGCTCTGCTCTGCAGCAGGGAWCATTCTCACCAGCTACCTGCAGACCTTTCATCAGGTGCTTACCAGGTACTTCAGGTAAATTATTCCCCAGGCAGACACCTCAACAGGGCAGATCATCCCTACACTGTGCTCACAGACACTCCCAAAATACCAGAAGTAACAAATCACTGGAATCCCAAAGTCTTTGCCAACTGGCAGTAATGGCTCAAGGGGTCTATTCCTCTCTGAAAAATACAGTGGCCATTCTCCTGTATTTGAGGGTCATTRCATGCTGCCCACCCATCACCTCTCAGCACTCACGGCTTCCTTGTTGATAACCATACCCGTACAGGATCTAGTCCGGAGAGGCTATTCACAAATCTYAACAAGAATTAAAATGGATTGTCCTGGAATGTTCATTCACCCACACTGGAGTGCAGACAAGACTTTCCTGTCCCASTCTCTCAGCAAGCTCCTCATGCCAGCTGGAGGCACAGAGCTGGTGTCACAGGAGAAACTTCTCCAATACACACTGGCCTTSGAGCTTTTATCTGAGTGTGCAGTTTTCCAAGCCAATACTTGTTACGAGGTGCTACAGTATCTGTGAAAGATGGCTAAACACACTCCCACATGTTTGTTTCTAGACAGGAATACTTTACCCAGCTCTTAAGCTAAAACATCTGAGACTTGCACTCACAACTTGGCCCACATAAGCCCTAGCAAGCTCACTGTCCCTGGGCTTGCCTACGTTGTGTCCTCAAAGCCAAGATACAGCCCTTCTTAAATKTTTTAAAGCAGTGTTCTGCAACCTCTGAAACAACCATTTGATACTGGCCAAAGTGCCATTTTACATTTTAGCAACAAGGAGAGAAGCAGTAAGACCTCATACAGTAACCACTGAAGTAATGCTCATACAAATTGCTGTGCTAGATACATGCTTTGGGGTAGCACTGTAGGCTAAAGACTCCCCCTGTCTGGGGCTGCCAAGTTAATCACAGTCAGTTGCAAGTTAAATATTAAAACTTAATATCCATTTTGCAAACTGATGCTTGAATTCTTCCCCAGTTGGTGGACTCTTTTCCACTCCAAAGTTGGGAGGAGATAGGAGAAGATGAGAAATTGAGCTGGGGACTGTGGAAAGCAGGAGGGAACAAAAATTTTTTCCAGAGGGAGGTGAGAAGAAAAAGGAAACAACCTCTGCAATTAATGTGAATGGAAACTGAGATGTGAAAAGCAACTTAGAATTCCAGTTGTGACTCAGTTTTGACCTAACAGATGGGGCAAGAGGAAGGAGAGRGAGGACAAGAGCAGTAACCACTACAAATCCCAAATAACCCTGCCTCCACACACACCTGGTGGCAGGCAGTGAGTGACAAACCTCCGACAGCCAACAGGTAACAGGAGCTTGTTGCTAAGAATCAGCTCCCAGATCTCCCATTCCTCCCACTTCAGATGGCACAGGAATGCTGGGCTCCCAAAATTGTTATGTGTAAATGCCCAGCTGCAGACTGACGCTTCTCTGCAGTTGCACAGCGTATTGAAAGAACCCCCAAGCCAAGCCAGCAGCACACTGACACTGGGAGAGCGCACACAATTTCAGACAGATTAAACCATCTTCTAAACAAACCCTTAAGCCTTTTGTATTGCACCTCACTGGTTTACTTATTCCTCCTTTGGGATGTACACTTGAACTCTGAGGTCAGAGTTGAAGAGTCTGGTCCGTGCCGCCTTTGTTCCCAAAACAAAAACACTCAACCCACCAACCAGAGCCTGGGAGGCTGATGGACCAGTCAAGATCCTGATCCCCCTATGGGCACTACAGAGGAATGTAAGGACCAGCTGAGCCCTRTCCTGTTTTCTCCTTCAACTGGGAGGAGCCCAGGGCAGCAGGAAGGAGCAAGGCCCAAAGGCTTTGAAGCACACATCAATACTAGTCATGGGAAGGCAGGTCTTTCATAAACAGTATCAGCAATCACCACATCCCACTTTTCAGAACAGAACATCACAAACAAGGCACATGCAAGAGTGCTGCACTAATGCAACAAWGTGAGATAAGATTAAAACCAGCAGCAAAAGAATATTTATGAGAACTTYGTATTTCAGTCAGTCATGTTGTGACAGATGCATTTTGATGGTCAGGCATTAAAGCACAGCTATAAACAAAGTGCAGCTGGCATGTGGGCAGGTCACAGGTAGAACATGCCCCAAACACCACTACTGCATGTTTGCAACTACATCACTTGGTCTGATAGGGCACTTGATCTCTCCAAATAGATTTTTCTTTGTGAGTATGAAGGTATTGTGAGGAGGAGGAGAGAGCAAGAACTACAAGAACAGMAGGGCAACCAGTCACTTTCTCTCAAATGATGTGGAAATAAAAAYGAAGCAGGAAGAAAATGGTACCTCTGTCAAGGGTCTTGGTCTTCTCTCTACAACAAATTCTGTGTGGCAGAGCTCACAGTAACTTGTGTTGGAGGAGGATAACCATTTTTCCAGGCAGCTCTTGTGCACGGTGCCCAGTGTTCCTGTGCAGTCACATGGGGAAAGCAGTCCCTCCCCATTTCCACCTTCATGACAGATTCGACAGATGGGACCATCACTAAAGAGGCAGAAYGAGAGACAAACAGAATGAAATCACAGTCAGAGCAGGCAGAACAACACAGCCACAGGGTCTGGTCCCACYAAGCCCCAGAAAGGCACATGCACGGCAGGCTGGACATGGCACACCATGCTAKGAGCCTGCTGCAGCAAGAAACCAGTCTCAGGACCATGGAGGTGCTCAGGAMATTTCATTTCAGGTCATTTAAAATCTGAGAGCCCCACAACAACAAGAGAAGATGGCACATCAGCCCTGGCCAGCTCAGCTGGTCCCAGAATTGACTGCAGCTCACCTCCCACTGTCCCCAGCTCTGCTCACAGTGGGGAGGGGCAGACACTGGACTCAACACTAAGTGCCTGAAGCACTGATGGAAATCCAGAAGCCCAAAGTGAAGCCAAATGATCCAGAGTAGTCACAGCATGCCTCAGCCACCTGCAGCCACTSRAAAGAYTGGCAATCAGTCACATTCACCAGAYCACCTCCCCACTCTCAGCCCACCTCAGCTCTGCAGCCTGGGCTGAGCAGGAACTGTGCAAGGAACAGCAATATCTCACAACACAACTGCACTGACCCTGGAAGCTCACCTCTCCCACATATTTCACAGCAAGCAGGCACCCACACCAAAGTCTCAGCATACAAATCCTCTGCCCATCACTGCAAAGTAAGTCTCCAGCATCCCATGGGCACACCCTCCCCACATCAATAACCACTCTGCAGTGTTGGGTCTCTCAAGTGGCTGCAGAAATGCTTTGGTGCTTCAGCAACACCTCCTTGGCCATGAGTTTTTACAGAATCACAGAGAACCTCACAGACCTCACAGCATCAGAGATASCTATCAAGGAAARCAGCATTTTCAGRGACASTTGCAACCTTCCCCACAGGAGGCCTGCACTGCTCATGGCACTCAAGCCATCCATCTGYTCCCAAGATGTTCCTCACACCTTCAGCTGGCAAGACTGACTGCCAACAATTAGTGCTACACCTTTCTCTAGAGCAGTTTGCTCAAAGCCCCAGCCAGCCTAGCCTGGAACACTTACAGGGGTGGGGCATCACAGCTATCCCAAGGCACAGCTCCTTAGCAGCCCTGTGCCATTATGCCAGCAACATGATGAGGATGTTTTGGGCTCCCTGGGAAGCCCCAAATGGCTCTAGACACCAAAGTTTGCTATTCCCAGCAGTTCACTACATCTCTTTAGCATTCTTCGATCACTGAGATTGAAGGAACAAAATTATTTAGGAACAGAATGCTGGACAGCAGAAGCCATGGGCAGGGCTGCCTTCCCCGGATTATGGAAACCAGGCCCTCAYTATTTCTCTTCCCACCTTCCAACCAGCCTTTTCTTTCACACAATTTTACATCCAAAGCTGTCCAGATTTGGGGGGTGGGAGAGAGGGTGAGAAAGGAACATCTTAATTTCAAAGACCMTATTGTACGTCCTCTTGAAATCCAGTGAGCAGTATCAGCTATCAACTTCTTGTACGTACTGCTGACAGAACAAAAGCCACAATGAACCCGTATCACAGTTGACACTTCACTGCTATTCTGACTTCAAAAAACCCCACCTGGCTGCCAAAGTTTGTGGGATTGCAACACAACAGTCAGAGCAAGCACTTAGTAATCGTCAAAAGCAGCAGCACCAATTCCATGAGTTTGCACAGAAAGCAAGAGTGAGGCATGGAAGCACAGTTCAAGGAAAAGGAGCACACTGGGAAAAAAGGTTGGTGGGACACGAAGGAAAGAAAAGAGCCAGCAAGAAAATGCATGTCACCCCACTAAAGGAGAAGCAAGATTCCTCTCTTTGTGTGCCACAGAAGATCTCTACCACTTTSAATTCACTATTTAGCTGGTTTCACCCCAATTGAACTTTTATTCATATTCAGGGCTGTAAAGCAATTTACACCCAATGTACACCATCCCCTTCTCTCTGCCAAACATCACTGTTGAACCACTGACTTGTGTTCTCTCCTCCTTTTCACACCTTTTATTTAGGGGACTCCTTCAGCCAGGACAATCTCTGCAAAAGGTGCAACAGGAGTGTGGGGAGGTGCTGGAAACTTCATCCTCAGAGATTCTGGAAACTGCATCAGACAAGRCTCTGAGCAGGTTTGCTCTAAAAGGAGGTTGGATCAGATGTCCTACGAATTCTCTTCCAATCTGAATTCTKTGATGATTTGGTAACATTTATTGCCATAAAATGCTGTATCAGAACAGCAAAAGTACAGCCCACACACAGAGCCCTAGTGACAGGGACAGACAACCCACTCAAGCCTCCAGTGCTCTCATGCATCTGTCATTTCCTAAGAAAAGCATCTGTAAGATATTTCATCCATTCTCTTCCTGTTTGAGAAGTTTTGTATTCCCAGCACATTATGATAACCTTGGCTACCAGTAAACAATTCAAAAAGAAAAAACTGCTGACAGTGTGTGAAAAAAAAATTCTTATCAGACTTTGTTTTCCTTCCTTCCCCTGCCGGGTGGGGGGCCCAGTCACACTCCCACATGATACACACTCAGACACAGTTTTCCAGCAGGCTGTAGACACCATATCAGTAATTCAACATTCCAGTGCAGTCACACTGCTCCGGGCATTGCTCTGCTAAGTGCTGGTGACAAGGAAGAGACTGAAACCCACCAGCACAAAAAGGAATGAACTTATGTCCATGTACAAACACAAGGAATCCTGTTGGGGTTTTTCAAACCTGTGTTTCCAGGCAGTTTTCCCACAAGATTATTGCACCTCCACAAGTTCTAAGAGGTTAAACAGCTTCTCACCCAGCCTATCTATTGCCAGAGAGCAAGCCCAGCTCCCTTCACATTTTTATTGACCTACCCCAGCTGTGCTGGATGCAGCAATTATGTTAGWTTCTATTCTCATCCAGCTTCCCTGCATCCCTCCCCCATGTCTGCAATCACTGCTTTCCCATCCCATAAATGTTTGACCAAATTCATTGAAAAAAAATAACAGCTGTTCAGACAGGATTTCTGAACACAAAATATGACAGCTCTTGGTAGCTGGACTGAATAATGCTGCCAAATGTCCTCTGCTCTGGAAGCTGCTCAAAATTCATGTCAAGAAGTCACATCAGAAGTCTGAGCCAGTGAAGCTGCCATGTGTCCCCACTAGCAATGGCTGGATGTTGTAGTTCCTGCAACACAAACACCCTCCCCTCCCTGCGGCTGAAGATCAACACCACGCCTTTACTCCATGGACGTTCCTGGAACAGAGGCTGTGCTCCCCTTCCAGCCCTTGAGCAGCTCACTGCCCTGCGAGGCTGTGACAGCAGCACACGGCGAGAGGTGCCCATGTCTGGGGCTTCCATGGCAAGCCCAGGCCACCAGCACATGGGACAGTGGGAGCCCCGCGGAGGGCACACGCCTGGGAACCATCTGGCTCTCGAGGATCCACACTCAGCACTCTGCCAAAATTCTTCACAGAACAAGAGTTTGTGGTCCCCCTGCTGCCCCAAGGCACCAGAGAAGGGGAAGAGTCCCGTCCGTGCAGCAGCTCACCTCTGGGTGCCCAGCGCCTTGATGACCGTGGAGAGRAGCCGCCCGTCCTTGGCGGTGACCTGGGTGATGTACTGCGGGCGCCCGATGTCCGAGTCCTCCACCGACTTGGAGAGGGCAGCGCTTCCCGGGCAGTCGCACAGGGAGCCGGGGAGGTGGCAGCAGTCGCCTGTCGTCATGGCAACTCCGGGCCCTGCTGTCCCGGGCCCGGCACCCGGGAGACCTGCGGGGACAGCACGGCAATCAGGAGCGGAGCCCTYAGAGCCAACCCCTCCGCTCCTCCAGCCCCGCTCCTGCTGGCAGCACTCCAGGGCCCCACAGAATCGCATTCTGCGAGTCTTCTGTCCCCTTTAATAGGCTTTRTGAGGCTGCCTTACCAGAAAATTAAGGCTCCAAGTGTTCTACTTACATAACTTACCATCAGAATTGCAAATTTGTCTTTCCCAAAGAATTCCTGATAATCACCCTTTAACCTGATGAAGCCTTTCAAACTGAATGTGCTGACACAGAGGTGGGGAAGGCAACCAGAAGGCCCATGGGCCTGTGATGTTCTGGCTAGAGCCATCCTGAAAACTTATATTCATCTTCTCCATAAACAGAGCAAAGTTTCACCTGATCAGGGCACCTAAACCAGTTTATGTGGCTGGGTTCAGGGRGGCCCTTAGCTGCCTTCAGGAGCTTTCTGAGCACTTGAAACTCTATCCAAGCCCAAAAGGCTCCCCCACACCATCTCTGGTCTTTTTTCTCTTTATTGTTTTACAGAAATGTACAGGCTTCCATTTCTATATCCCCTGTGGTAAGTCCCAACAGTGAATGTGGGACATAAACCTCCCAAAAGCACCAAAAATCCTCCCTGGGAAGGGCAGCAGGCCAGCTTGCCTCCTTTCCCTTTCARTTGTTCAGACCAATAATGATTTTTMCAAGAGCCACATGCAAACAGCAAAGCATACCAGCACATTTTCAGCAAATATCCAGCAAAAAGAACACATGGAACAAACAGCAAATGCAAGAACTGGAGAGAAGATGCAGAGAAAAGTTCAACGTGGTAAACCAGGTGCCACCTCTGATGAGCCAYGTGTGGACAGGAGAGCTCTCTGCCTTTGAGGAAAGGCAGCAGATCACCCAAGCTGCCAGAAACAGCCAAATTCTGCCCTGGCAGGGGGTACCTCAACCCCAAAATCAGGCATGCTCTGCAGATTCAGAAAAATCCTAGAATTGTCAATTGCCTTTAACCTGATCCCTGAGAGGCAGCTGTGCAGAAATAAAGAGCTGGGGTTACAGTGAGTCACAAGCTGAACACAATCCAACAGCATCGCACTGCTGGTAAAACCAAAATCCCTGTGTCTGTAAACAGGACTGCCTTATGTAAGGCACGCACAGTAATCCCTGTGCGCCAGCACTGCTGGGATCAGAGCTGGAATGCTGCCTCATCCTGGTGACTGGATTTCAAGAAGAAACAAATCCATAAAAGAAGTTCAAATGAAAGCAAGGAAAAGGAAAAAAAAAAAGGAGAAATTAAAAGAAATAAAATAACTCCATCCTCAAAGAAGAAATATGAAAATAATTAGGTTTGTTAAATTTAGGGGGAGTGGGGGGAATCCACAATCTTTGCCTCCTGGAGGTAGGAACAGGCAAATAAACCTTCCCCATCCCATCCAAGGAAAGGTTTTTTAGTTTTGAGATCTCTGCACAACAGAAGTCAAACATTCCCATGAAACTGCAGTACTGTCAGGTTCAACTAAGCCRAAATCTAACTAAAATAACTAAAGAAAATAAGGGCTTGATCCTGGTTGGAGGCTTGACCACACTRCAGAGGAAAACAAAAAGCCAGTACAAGAACRTGATCCTTGAAGCCCTGAAAACACTGATCTGGGTAAGCAYAAGTGTCTTGGAAATTAAGAAAYTCTCACACAACCAAGGGCTTCGTCTTCCAGGACAGCTTCCTTCATATACATGYGTTCAAGAGGGAGACAGACCTTCACTGTTGTCTCAGCATCAGATGCCAACTTTGGCAGCATCCCCTCACTTTACAGAATAGTTTCTAATTTCTAATAGAAGACTTTCTAATCTCTTTTTTAAAGCTGCACTTCACAATTATCTGTAATCATTTGTATCTGAGCRGGAATAAGCTTGAGCTTATGGGCTGGTCAATCCTCTTCAAAACAAAYGTGAATCTTTTCATCAACTTAAAAATGAACTTCATAGACTCAGCCTCTCTCTCCACCTGTTCAAAGAGCACACAGAGTTAGAGCTACTTTTCTTATTTCTCCTCTTCAAAACAAAGGCTACAAACTCTCCAACTTCAAGCAGCAAAAAGTAAGATGATAAATGCTATTGGAATGACTTAAATCAGCTGTTCTGCAAGTTCAGGAGTTCTTTCAATTTTAACAACCTCTTAATGAAACAATCATGAGAATATATGTGCTTTTAATAAAAAGGTCTGTTCCATTTGTTCGGCCAAAATGTTGTTTATTTTAAAGTCCAGAGGAAAAAAGGTCCATTCTGTGTATTGGAATAAAACTGCCCTCACTGACTGTGTCCTGGGAGTATTTATACTGAGGCTCTTTGTGTTCCACATCTGACAGACACAGGCAGCCCCATTGCCTTGCCCTCGCAGCCCTGCTCAGGCTGGAAGGGAATGGCTACCCTGTGGTTTTTCAGGAAATGCATGGGTTTCTGTTACGAGTTATTTGGCGTTTCCTTTTCAGGGTCCAGCCCAGGGTGGAACCTGAAGTCACTGCTTTCATATCTGACTCACACCATTCAGCAAATACGAAGGAAAAGCAGCAAGATTTTCATGGTTAATGAAGAAGTRACTGAAATCCAAAGATAACATCTGCAGTGCACTCAGGTTCCAATTCCATACCCAGTGGAATAAGAACCATGGTGTACAGCCAAGTCAGTCCCTTTCCTGATCCCTGAAGGACCAGCTCATCAGCACACAGCCTTCTCTCMCAACTGTCAACAGCTCATCCAACCCAACCCAGTGCTCACAGAATCATGCAGGYTGCAAACAGCCTTTGAGATCATTGAGTCCAACTCAATGCTCCTCCAGGACTGCCAAGCCCACCACTAACCCATGTCCCCAAATGCCACATCCACATAGCTTTTAAAGCCCTGCAGGGATGGTGACTCCACCACTGCCCTGGGCAGCCTGTGCCAGTCTGAATGCCCCTTCCTTGAAGGATTTTTTTCAGCCTAAACCTCTCCAATACAACTGGAAGTTGTTTCCTCTCATCTTGTTGCTCGTTACCTGGGACAAGTGACTGATCCCCACCTGGCTGCAGTCTCCTTCCAGGGTCCCCCGTGAACCTACTTTTCTGAATACCCAGCTTCCTCAGCCACTCCTCATCACATTTGTGCTCCAGCCCCTTCCCCAGCTCATYTACAGCAGAAACAWCAAAATCCCAAGGTCAGAAACAAGACCCAAACAACCGGTTTAAACCCACACTGGTTTTTTTCTAAGCACCTGTGATTTCTGAGCTCATTCCTTGGGGATACATTTCCTGTCCACATTKAAAAAATAAGTCTTGGAAACACTAGGTTTATTATCAACATCCCTTTTGCTGCCACAGTTAGACATGAGCAAATGAACCAGAAATCTCTTCTCAGCAACATTTTGCATACTAAGCTTCTGAGCAGATCCAGAACAYAAAGGGCTGAGTTTGTAGACAGTACTCAAATTGAAGAAAAACAAACCCTGTTTGTGGAAAGTTGGCTCAGMAGAGCAAGTTCTGCACTAGAATTCCAAAACTCAAACACATGCAGCAAWATGAGCCAGTTCCTCGAAGAGCAGCTCATTCTGTGTCGCTGCTCCAAGGCAGAGAGCGGGGTGCTGGTGCAGGATCCTGCTCCATGGCTCAAGTGAAACGCCTGCAAGATACTCCCCCGAATCTTCACTCATTGCAATGAGATTTAATCCAGTTTGTAGGATCCAAAGGGCAATGAGGCAGGCAAAACTCCTTCAAAAGACTGCAGAGATCAGGCTGTACCAGTGCTCTCCATGCAGGAGATGTGCCCAGTAAGAGGAAGCAGGAGTCAAGGAGCTAAAGGATCCCCCAGCTCTGCTCTACATATTTGGAGTTTGAAGATGGACAAGACAGTTATTTCTCCCAGACAGGGAAACCACAGCAGGCCAGATGAACACCTGGATCAAAGCCACAAAGGGAAAAGCACAGTCAGGATGAGAAAGAAAATAGGAAAGGCTTCAGCCAAAGGATGGCAGTTAGGAGGATTGTCAGGTGCAGGCTCTGCCATGCTCCTCGTGGCCTGTCCATTATGGAATATCCCAAATGGAGATGGCAACAGTGTAAAGCCTTGGAGCAATCCTTTGCCTTTGGTAGAATCCAGAGCAAATTGGAACTAGAACCAGCTCCACATTTTTTGGGGGTAGCGCACACACACCAGCTCCTGAAGAGATTGGCTTCCCTGGGACATCACCAAGARAAAATTCAACACATGAGGCTGACAGTGGCCAAGTCTATTCCTCTCACTGAGTAACCCATTTCCCTGATTACATAACTTGAAACCTGGCACCTCACCCATGGTGTCACCAGAGATAACCAACGTGTGCAGCCAACGTAACCCACCCATCTGTACACAAGGACCTTTTTTTAAATTTAGGAAGTAACTGATGGCAGATCAGAGCTCTGACCACTGCTCATGTGAGCTGAAGTTTGACCCCAGTGCAAGGCTTCCCAGCCTGCTTTCCAAAGCCCTTTTAGCCTTTGAGCACACAGACACTGAATTTTCTAACCATATGATCTTGCAAATGTCACCAGTGAACTGAAGGTTATCATTTGCTAAAGAGCATTTCCAAACATCAGYGCTTTCCTTTTCACCACTTAAACTGGATTTCCCAAATCCTGGGCCCTACAACCGTCTGAACATCTTTCTCCATCTTGAGAGAGACCATACAAAGAATTCCTTCCTTCACACATCTAAGCACCCACACACCCAACACACATCTTCCCACAGCCCAGGYTCAACCCCAGGTGTGCAGCACATCCTCCAGCACCAGTTCTTCCTACTGCAGGTAGCTGTGCCTGACTGGTGTAGCCCCCGTGCTGGGGGTGACTGGCAAAGTACCCCCTCTTATATATCTGGGCTCTAGACCCTCATACCCACAGTGATGACACACTTGAGACATTGCCACCAGAAATACAAATGGGTGGGACACAATGAGTGGCTGAAGTGCTCCTTGCTACTGTTAAAAGGTTGCATAAGTAGATTAACCTAAAAAGACAAAACCAAAAAATCCCAAGAACCAGTCCCAAACTGCTGCAGGGTTTTGTTTTCAGTTTTGTTTGTTTAAACATACTTTCTGCTGAGGGCTGAAAAAACACAATATTATTTTGTTCTTTATTAAAAATACACGATTTTACACATAACTAACTCCCCAAAGTTACCCTGCAGGTCTGCTATGTAACACCTTAAAAGTACCCAAAAAGCCAGCACAGGATCTGCCCATGCTAGACCCAACAGCAACTCTCCCATCGCTCCGGGCCTGGGAAGAAATCTTGTAAGTCCTGTGCTTAGAAGTCAYCTGAACATGACAACCCTAAGGTCAGGGTGCAAGGAGCCCTTTCCAGTGAGAAAAGTGACACAGCACTTTATGGCATAYACCTCAATATTCAAAATAAGAACTGATGCCATGCAACAGCTTCTAAAACATTTTAAAATTTGGTAAATAACATACAGGAAASAATTTCACTCTCCAAGAGCTTCTCTATTTCCTGCCTGGCCTGCAASATTTGGTTGGCAAGATACTACCCCTTACTGCAACTAAAGGAGATGCTGAGAAAAATTCTGCCATGACTTGCTCTTTAGAGGATGCCAGTGGAGACATGCTGTGGATCAGAGCCAGGGGACAGCCCTGACCCTGGGCTCAAAACAAAACAAACCCCAAATAGMAAAGGAAAAAAATAATCAGGGCACAACATCCTGGGAGCTTGTGAACCTTCTGATAAAGCTTCACACCAGGAAACACCTCCTACACYCTTAACAGCAAAAACTCAGGGCTGATCTCAGAGGCTCACCTGCCCAATCCCTGGGGCTGAGTTTTAAAACASACACTTCAAGTTTAACCCTGTAACACCCAGGAGGAGATCAGAAGCTTTGAGGACACAGCCTTTCTGGACTCCGGTGTTTGTCACATTTGTACATGACCACAGYTGGACTTGGCTGGGCTCCCTCTCTGCTGCTCCAAAAACACAATTTAGCCACAGTCAATGGTAACTCAAGCCTTCACTCACTGGCTGCTGCTGGGGACAAACGATCATAACTTCCCTATACCAATAAACTATTTAGATGTATTCTAGAAGCTCTCTGAAGTCTTGATTATTTAGATTATGGCAAACAGGTTTGCAGAGATGGGTGAAAAGACAGTCTTCCACTTCAATTTCTTCCAAAACACATTGCCAGGATTCTAACTTCTATTCCCCATTGGTAAAAAATTCCCGCAGCAAGCTGATGATTAATAACTGCTGTTTTCCAAAGC